TTTTTTTGAACGATTTTCAATATAAAACATGTCTAAAAGAACAAACTCGTGTCATCGTAAGCTTATTAAAATGAGCTTCAGGGGCGGATTTAGACTATCAGACTAGTTCAACTAGTTTCCGGAAACTAGTGAGATTTTTCAAAAAAAGATGTAGTTGAAAGCGATACTTCAAATAAAATCATATAAACGAAAAGAATATGGAGTATTCACTGGAGTATTTTACCGGTAGATGGCAATACGATCGCTTTGGCCGCCATTTTGAAAGTTGTACCACAGGAAACCCACATTTACTACTTGGAATATAAACTTCTTTGTTCTTGTGGGAGGGGACCCATCGAAATGTTTGACACAAGACTGTCGATCACGAGCCCAGAGTCCCCCAATGGCTCTTAGACAGCGGACTATCGCTTGAGAGTGCACTAGTGCAAAATGACGTAGCACTGATTCACATAGGAATCCCGACTGGTTTCCAGATAAATTCTTGTTCACACAGGAAACCCGAAATCTATTTTCAGCCAATCAGAATCGAGCTTTGGTTTGTACGAGGGAGGGGTAGGACCTAACCAGAAACTAGTCGGAAACCAGTAGAAACCAGTGATTACCCTACCCTAGTAAGGCTATGCTGTCTTCATAGCAAAGGCCTCGTGCCATTCAGTTTAGCAAAGATTTTGAAATAATTGGCCCCTAAAACAACACTAACTGAGCAAATGGAAAAAAGATCGAGGCCAGAAATACTACCAGCACTGTTTAGATCTGTTGCTCTAGTGTCGGAATGTGGATAAACCTCTCGTGAAACTGTTCAAAGGAAATTCCTGTAGTATACATTGAATTCGCCAAACAGATTCGGATTCATGCATGTGAACATTCTTCGTGCTTGGTATGTATTGAAAATAATTTCTTTTGATTTAAAAAGAATGAAAACGCTTGAACCGAATAAGTTACATATTAATCACAGTTAAGAATTGATAATTTAAATTCGAAATACAATTTTCTGGAATTCGGTTGCTAGCGTCATCTACCGCGGCGCATTGCCGTCCCTTGTGTATGTTAACAAGTTGGCTGAATCGGCTTAACTAGTTCATTAGTTTATTAGAATCATTTTGCCGACAGAAAAAAAAACAACATTTCACATTTATTTAAACATTTGTTTTTTTTCAGGCCGACGTTATAAATATTCATGTTTTAATTAATTAGCATATGTCAATACAACATTTTTTTAGTTGGAAACTAGTCTGTGAAAATGCTAGATCCGCCCCTGCAGAGAGAGGTTTACTTCTTTTGCTGGAGGCTGTGAAGGCGTTCCGACTTTCTTCTTCAAGGCCCGGTTCTGGACTTGAAGCGCCTCGAGCTCCTTTCTTAATGAAGTCAATTCATCTTCTCTTTCCAGTTTGTCCTTCTCTGCCCGAGCTTTTTCAACGTCCCGACGCAACTTGACCAACGCGTCTAGTTCACTTGAAGTCGACTCTGGTAACTCCGTAAAGCTTTCGTGAAAAATTTCACCATCCTCTTCCTCATGTCCATCATTTAAAGCAGCATAATTAACTTGTCGCTGAACACGCAATTCACGATCACCCATGACAAGAATGATAAATAAAAATTAGCTAAAAACTCTGAAGACTAAAATGAGTACATACACACCACGAGGGAATAACAAATAAGTAATCCGACTCTTCTGATTAAGTAAATAACAGGAAATGACAACTAAGGAATGACAGAAATATTACCCAATCAGCTAAGTCGAATTAATTATTTTAATATGATCAAAATATACCCCTGACGCCATCAAGGTAAATACATTTATTTGATGTTGATCGTGTCGTGTATCGATGGACATCTTCCAATGATCTGAATAAGCAGTCCAAATTGTCTGGGGCTTGATTGTTGAAAATATCATGCATCATAATGCATACCCGCTCAAAAAACATGAAGTTGATGGGAAGTGAATGTATCTGTAGGAATAATGGTACAGTGTGCTCCCGCGGGTTTGAGAAGTTGATTAATCTTAGCGCACGCTTTTGTAGAACAAGTACTCTTTTAAGGTGTGTTTTAGCAGCATTTCCCCAGCTGCAGATTCCATAATTTACATAAGGGACTATCAATGCTAAACATTGTTTGGCGTGGTACAAAATGCCGCAGTTTAGCAATGATGCCAATCGATTTACATATTTTTTGCACAAGGTGTTCTATGTGAAATCTCCATGATAGCTGCGAGTCTAATAGTACGCCA